AACTTTTTTTTTTGCAAAATCCAAACGTAAAGTTCAATGTAACAAACAATCTGAGGTCTAAGGTGAATAAATATGTTTTACCTTTATATCCGAATCAGCAATTTCGTTCATGATATCTCTGAACCAATCGAACGAGCCTTGCTCTCTTGTTACCCAGTAAAAGTAAGCGTTCTTGGTCTTCAACGTCCTCCTTCGGTTTTGGGGAATTCTATTCCCAGCTTCCGAGTTTAAGCAACTGAAACTGTGATCCGACGACATGTTGCTGTTACTACAACTACCTGAGTGGCATTCCTGAATATATATAAACATAACTCAAAAAAGTTGCTTAAGATTCTACTAATCCTCAGAAAACGGTTTTCGTAATTTTATACTCACAGCTTGTTCCTGTTGCTTAACGATGTTGTTAAGTAGATCTCTCAAAATGCTAATGAAAGGTGTTGCGCCGATTCCAAGGCCAACGAGTAGTAACACATCATACTTCCAATGGTCTTGCGCTGGAGCGCCATAAGGCCCATCTATCAACAGCTCTGGCAAACTAAATTACAAGAGAGAATATCAAGTTCACAAATGCGCCCTTAACAAAAATGTCAATAATATACAGAACTCAAAATTTGGATGCACCTTATTTTGTTTGGTCTTTCTGCTCTGAGAAGTCCGCTTTTTCCAGCTTCAGGAGCTTCACATACCACTGAGAATACCTTTTTGATTCCTTCTGTCCAATCACCGAGCTGACGAATGTGAATACTGAGATAATCATTTCCAGGTGAAGAAGTAATAGAAAATGGGTGCCTGGAGATGGATTTTAGGACCACGAAGCTTTAATTTAATCTTTTTGGATTCAAAGAACATAGTTTGTATAGATTGCAAGCAAATCCCTAATGGCTTGTTGAAAATTGGCTTGCTTTAAAGACTCACCACTCAAATTTTGATACTGCAGGACACTGAACAAATATATACTGTCCACTCTTGTAGTCAAATGATGTAGGCTTAGACATGTGTAGTACGACAACGTTTCCAGGGTAAATTACAACCTGAAACCAGATAAGTGAGTTGCTATAAAGATATTAGAAGATTACCAAAGATAATAGATTAGTATGTTGATTTACAATGTATCTTTTCATGTGATTCTGTTCAAAATGTAACTGTAACGAGACTTTACCTTACAGATTTCAACAGTGTAAAGTCTGGAACGAAAGAATCTCAGGATCCTTTCCCCAGCATAGAGTAAGACCGGCACAGCAAGATACATCCATATCTGCAGGAGGCAGCATCTGTTAATATCACTGATTATATAAGAACGCAAAAAAGTAAAATAGTAAAAGAGTTCTATGGACTTTACTGTCTTGCGGTACCATTTATGCTCGAGATAGAGGGAAACACCATGGATGACTAAAAGAACATAAACAGATAGAAGTAAGTGATGTGAATACCAAAAGGCATTAAATCCGGTTAGCTTGTCAAATGGCTTAGGCAACTTTGTTAGGTTCCGTCTACATCTTCGACTCGCTAATGTGAATGCAATTGCCATAAACGTAACCATTATAAATCCAGTGATTCCAACAGGACCTTTAACCAAGTCAAAGTATGTGGGTCTGGTCACACCAAAGTAATGAACCAAGTATCTTTTATAATCAGCCTCTGTTGATGATAGAATCCTCGGGAAATCACAAGCTAAGTGACTAGATGCATGGAGAAGCATTGCAATTACGATTGCTACTGAGATCGTCTGCGAGTAACCAAAAGCCAAAAAAAGTAGGATTCAGCTGAAGCAAAGTCTCTCTCTCTCATATGAAAGGCAGGACAAAATGGTTTTTACTCAACCTTGTGAAAGTTGACACTGTCATCGAAAGGCACTGAGGAGGACAAAGCTGTGGATCTGAGGTACGTGATTGTAATTCTGCAGACGGGAAGAAGGATAAGAGCCATGTTGAACTTCAGTGTTTCAGCTGCGCCTTTTGCCACGATAAGGCAGTAACCCATTACATGGAATGCATCTTTGCGTTTGTACTGAACGCATTTCCACATAAATAGCCCGGCCATGATCGTTAACCACAATGTCAAAACCCAAATCCTCTTCCAATTGTCTTGCAAAGAGTAAAGCAAGTTCCTGCGTATTCCCCATCTTGTATCCTTTAGGTTTTGGCTTAAGACTCGGCTCGTCTGGCTTAACGGTTGGCTGTAACTATGAGGTGTGTCCTTCTGTAGTAGTAGCATCTCTAGTTCCTTTAACTGTATCATTTCAAATCCATAAGAAAGACATCATATTAGAGTGTTGAACAGAGTTCCTTGATCTGATACTTAAGCGTTCAGATACTATTCTACTACCTATCTTGTATCGGTCTTAACCAGATAATATACAGTACATTCAAACAAGTAGGCAGGCTCTCAATTTTTTTTTGTCACTGTCCCTATAAAATTATATAAACTCATAATCATACTCTGAAACGCCACTATACTTGTTTATAGATTCTGATAAAGCTCTATTTGACTATTTGTGAACCTCTACTTGTTTGTCTTCGTCAAGTTTATATTCAATTTATTCCATACAAACACAAACTTGCATAGCACTTAGCTTTACGCTCATTGGTTTCTTGACTCAGTCAAATGTCCCTAAGAGCTCAGCGTCATCAATTACTAAGGTCAAACCAACAAGGAACCCCTCTACTCTCTCTCTCTCAGTGATAGTGATTTCTCTGCACACTAAATCAATAGCTTTATGGTATTTATTATTTAAGCATGTTTTGTGTTATGACCTTTCACGATATATGAGATGAAAGTGATGGACGCACCTCTATGTACTGGGAGTGGACTCCATTCGGGGACAGTTCTTCCATGATCAGTGCTGCATATTCTTCTGCTCGTTCTCTCAACCTTGATAGATTATTTGCCGATGCACTTAGTATAATAATCTATAAGGTTGTCAAAATCAAGGAAATTCATAGAAAAAGTTAATCCCAAAATGAATCTTTAACTAAGAAAGATTCAACGTAAACTTAGTGGTTACAGAATAATAATTTATGGATTGGTAGTTACAAACTTACAAAACCTTCCTTTAATTAAGAAAGCTGCTACAAGGTCAATCAAACTTTGTGTAGAAAAAAAAAATTGCAACTTAAGTTTTCTAATCTTGCATTGGTCAGAAGGGAGACATGGAAAAGAAAAGAATTATATCAAGACTAACATAGCCAACCAAAATAGACAACATTTTGTTCTAAAATATCAACAACATGGGCATATATATTAATAGAAATATTCAAATTGAGGAGAGATAATGGCACACATGTAAGATTCATTAGTTAATAATACTAAGATCGTAAGTTTTGCTTACGCTTGAATGTTTCACGAAGTCAACGACTCAATGCTGATTAGAATACAAAATAAGGAAGATGGAACATAAGTCACCTCTTTTACTTCGTTCTCTGTGATTCTACCATCTCCATTTTTGTTCACCCTGCAAGTATTCAAAGATGAATAATAAATCAAGAAGTTAACTCATGTTGAAGAAGTAATTCAATATGTTAACATATTCAATTGATGATGATAAAAAATACATGTTGAAGAAGATTTGCAGCCGAGAATCGAAGCTTTCGTCTGTGATTTGGTACCAAAACTCGTATAGTTCTTGAAGGCTGATCTTGTCCACGACTAATCTTCTTCTCCTGCACAATGCGTCGAACAACTCCTCTGCAAACTCTTTCGAGTTTTCATTCTCCATCCCTTTCAACACAGAACAACAAATGTCAACCAAAAATTCACAATCTCCACCAAAATTCACAAATGCAGAATCATGTCGAACCTATGCAATGAGCAAAATCACACCGAGAAAGATGACCGTCTTTCGAAAGGTTAGCGAATTTGCTCTGAACTTCTCTCCAGCCGGCGATTCCGTTTTCCTTGCTGCTGATGAATCTCAGACCGTGAATCGCTCTCTGCGTGCACGATCCATTCCGATGAAGCCTGGTGAATCTCTGGGTTAAGGAACGAGGGAGATTAGCCGGATCGGTAATTTCGCCTCCGTACGGAACCACCATCTCCGGCGCAGACCGAGACGAGTAGCCGCCGCCATCTCGCCGTGAGATCCTCCGAAGCTTCTCTTTCAGAACTCTCGAGAACTGTATCGCGTTCGTCACCACCTGTCGCTCCGACGACGCGCTCCATCCTAGGCTACGAGATCCTGAACCGGAAGCCGAGCAAGAGGTAATCTCTGGATCTGTGCCGGAAATATCGGTTCCGGTAACGGAGTCGATGTTTACTAGCACGCCGCTTGGGAATTCAATCGTCACTTCCAGAAGCTCCTCACCGGAGGCGGGTGAGTAAGTCCCCGGCAACGATGGAAAGCTTTGGGTGAATTCTCCGCCGGAAGCCAAATCGGAGGCCCACCGATCGTCATGAGTCCCGTAGGAAACTGGCATTGACATTTCAAAATCTGTTGGAGGAGACGACGACACACGAGGGAGGGAGAGGAGCAAATAAATACGATTTTTGAATATTTTTTTTGAATTGTTTTTATATTTGTCTTCTGTGCTACTTGGCCAAAGCCCACAAAGGTCTATGGATTCTGGAGGGCGAATTAATCAAAAGAAAAAAATTCTAGGGACCTATCATTGTAAATTCTCATAATGCGTCAAACGGATATAATATTCAACGAGTCGCACGTGTGTATGAGGACTTGTCACGTGCGGAAATTAGCTTGGGCCCACTTCAACGCTCCTCCTTCTGAGTTTGGATGATGAAATTACCGCGTTTAATAAAAAACAATTTAGGGTTTTACGGAAATTGGGTCTCCTCTCCGCTTCACCTACTTAACTCTCTCTGTATCATCTCCGTCAACGATACGAACCCAGAGACGCCGGCGGTTAAAAAAATCGTCGAATTTCTCTGGATTCGGAAGGAGAAAAACTTTCCCGATTACAGGTTCTTTTCGTGGGGATTGTATTCGATTTTGTTTCTAATTTTTTGTGTGTGTGTGTGAGAGAGAGACAGATTTAAAAGGGGTTTAGGGTTTTTGGCTTGTTGCTACGATGGACGAGAATTTACTGGACGATATAATCCGGCGGCTGCTGGATACGAATACCGGGAGGACGGTGAAGCAGGCGCTACTTGAGGTGGAGATACGGCAGCTATGCTCGGCTTCGAAAGAGGTTTTCCTCAGCCAGCCTAATCTCCTCGAGCTCGAGGCTCCTATCAAGATTTGCGGTAAAACAACTCAACGAAGTTGCAGTCTTTTTAGTCTTCCCATGTTTCTCTCTGATTGAATTTCTTCCTGTGTTTCTGGGTTTTTGGTAAAATTCATTTTTTTCTGTTGTTGTGGAAGGTTAAGCTATTTGAGCTATACGCTTACTTTGAAATTATCTGAATAGGGGTATGTTGTAAGCTAGTTAAAGATGTGACCTTTTAACATTTTGTGACTTTCTAAGAAATCATGGTCATTAGCTCTGATGTAAAGACTGTAATTGGATTCTCGCCTAAAGCTTGATAGCTAACAGTTTTGTTTACATTAAACCCTCTTTTTGCTGCTACCATAACTGCATGATTCACAGATTAAAGTTTATATTGTTGATGAGCAGGAGATGTTCACGGTCAGTTTCCAGACCTCTTGCGGTTGTTTGAGTACGGTGGCTATCCGCCAGCTGCGAATTACTTGTTCCTGGGTGACTATGTTGATCGTGGTAAGCAGAGCATAGAGACGATATGCCTTCTTCTTGCCTACAAGCTCAAATACAAGCTCAACTTCTTCCTTCTCAGAGGCAATCACGAATGCGCTTCGATCAACCGTGTGTACGGATTCTACGATGAGTGCAAAAGAAGGTACAACGTGCGCCTGTGGAAGAGCTTCACCGACTGCTTCAACTGTCTTCCCGTTGCTGCTCTCATCGACGACAAGATCCTCTGTATGCACGGCGGACTATCGCCTGAGCTGAAGAGCTTGGACGACATCAGGCGGATCCCTCGTCCCATCGATGTTCCTGACCAGGGAGTCCTTTGTGATCTGTTATGGGCTGATCCCGACAGAGACATTCAAGGCTGGGGGGAGAATGACAGAGGTGTCTCGTATACATTTGGGGCCGACAAAGTGGCTGAGTTCCTTCAGACTCATAACCTTGATCTTGTCTGCCGAGCTCATCAGGTAAAGCTACACCACACTAGCACTTGTGTTCTTAGCTGTTTCATGCAAGGACAGTGTTTCATTATTAAACTGATATTCATTCAATATAAATAGAAAAAAAGGCTCATGATGATTAGGTGAGATGAGAATGCTGTGGGAATTGTTTGACTTTGGAAGTAATCTCTACGCTTCTATCTTCTATAGTATTTATGATGTAAATGCTGCTATTAGGATGCATGTAGATTCTTAGGCAAATACTGTAGTTTTTACACTAAATTTATTCGTTGCCTACTGATTTGGCAGGTTGTAGAAGATGGATATGAGTTCTTTGCAAAGAGACAACTGGTGACAATATTTTCTGCACCCAATTACTGTGGTGAGTTTGACAATGCTGGCGCAATGATGAGTGTTGATGATAGCTTGACATGTTCATTCCAAATCCTCAAGTCATCTGAGAAGAAAGGAAGATTTGGATTCAACAACGTTCCTAGACCAGGAACCCCACCTCACAAGGTGACATTGACATACCATCTCCCTCATATATAATTGCAAATCGGTTTATTAGTGATCAGATTGATAATACGTTGGTTTTTTTTGCAGGGTGGAAGAGGTGGTTAAGTCCTTCATGATCAGTGTGGGTATCAAGAAAAGAGTGAAGCCGATGGGTTCGATTTTTTGAAGGGTCATTGTAGTTGATTGAGCCAAACAGTTTGTTTTTTTAGATTGTTTATTGTTTTGTTTGATTAAAGCAAGATTTTTGTTGTGTAACGGTCACAGCATTTGTCAACTGAAGGAAGTTGGGTTTATACATTTAACTCAAGATTCAACAACGCAAGAAAGTCATGAAAAGTTTCTCGAGAGAGAGAAGAAAAAAGAAAAAGTACAAAACACAAACTTGCAAGTTTCAGAACGTTTTCTTAGACCACAACGCAAGAATGTGGAGAGCCGAATTCAAGCAAAAAACCAAAAGAAACTTTGAAGTTTTTAACGATTTGTCAGAAATTTTGACAAGACAAGAAAAGAGGATTTAAAAGACATCAATACTCCCATTTCTTGAGCTCCATACCATCTGGTGGAGTGCTCTCCACTTTCTTAGTCCCTACCTCTTTCCAGTTTGTAGACAGCACCGTCCCGTTCGACTCTGCCTGTTAAACCCAAAAACCACCAGGCAAGGTATTCATTCATCAGTCAAAAAGACAAAGGAGAAGTTAAAAAGAAGAAAAACCAATAGAGAGATCGATTAGCTCACAAATGATTTGTTCATGGCTCGCCTCATGTCCTCATCAGCACTCTGGTATATGTCGCTGAAGAACTTGTTCATAGCTGCATCTCCATCTAGCTTCTCATCCTTCTCCTGCATATTCAAATAGCGATAAGCAGAAAGGAGATAAAAGTAAAGTAAAGCAAAGCCTCTGGAGCTAAAAGAGGAACCTGTTTCTTCACTTCAGCTTCCAGCTTGTCCCAGTCTTTTCCTGGCTTAGAAGATGGATACACCGGCCTCTGCGAAACCGCTGCATCATAGGAACATACAATTATATTAGAAGAGATCGCCTTGGCTTCAATTGTGCAAGGTTTCATAATTACAGTTTAGAATATCTTCTGAGATGAACTGAGACAAAAAAGGTTTCGGTGTAACAAAAAAAACAACCTGATGCGACATTGGGTTTAGGCAGGACAGCTAGCCCTTTGCCATATTCAAGGGAGGCCCAAGTGGTTATCTCTGCTTTCGCCAGACGGATCTCAACTTTGGTTGACAATACTTCATATCTGCACTTCTCCGGTATTATCTGAAGAATACCCCCATGAAGAATGATTTAGTATACGAGTATGTATGAAAACATCACCAGTTTCATTATTTGTCGTGAAAATTTACCTTCCCGAACAACCTCGGCTGGAAATGATAAGCTTCCTCTCCAGCAACATCAATCACAACACTCAGCTGCAGAAAAATCCCACATAGATATCAACAATCAGTACACAATATGTCAGATTGTAAAGCAAACATAGTTTCATAAGATCAGTTAAAAGTCATGCATTGATCTGACTGCAGGATACTCACAATCTGGTCACCAAACTCGACAGTTACGTTCTGCTTTGGAATTCCTTTGGCGAAAATTGTCACCACCACTTCTTCCGGCTTCTGGTAGAACTCGTGTCTGTTGAACCATCGAGATTTGAGATATAAAGTGATTCAAGAAATTTTCAAAGGAAACAACATTTTCGATAACTAGACTACCTGAACATCGGTTTGGCCGGAGCTGCAGGACTTGGAACAGGAGGAGCATCAGCTGCAGTTGCTAGTGGTGTCGTAGAGCTCGAAGGCAAAGTCGGTGGCATCTGTTGAACCAAATCTTTCTCTTCTTCTGAAGAGAGACAAAAAAAGAGACTATCATAAATCTAAGCGTAGGTGCAGACAAATATTGAGAATCGTTTCGTACTTTTTGATCTTAAGCTATGGAGTTTATGTAATTACCTGCAATGCGAAGATTGCATTCATCAATCATCTTCTTAAATTTCGATTTATTTGGTGCAACAGAGACTCCCTTTTCTAGGGTTGCTTTAGCGGTACTGTATTCTTCTAGCTTCATACAAGCAGTGCTGCAAATACAGTATAGTGTTATAATTCCATTCAAATTTAAATATTTTATTAAAGTATCACTAGACTTTAAACAGAGCGATCATAACAATATTCATACCCTTTTCTGAGGTACGCTTTTGCCAACGTAGGTTCCAACTTGATTGCTTCGTTTGCATCTGCAACGGCTTCTGCTCATGGAGAAGCACGAAATATAAAACATCAGATCAAAGAATCTAACAACAATTCAGTTGAAGAAAAGTTCGTAGATTCTTTGCTAGGGAACACAATAGTTTAACCTTAATATTACTGATCACTCAAGCAAGAATCAGGAATAACCAAAACCATAAGTGGATAGTGAATCAAGAGAAAAATCCCTTCTTTATGGACAGTGAGATCAATTCGTTTCGCAAAGATAAGCAAAAGATAAACATATGAACATCAAACTGATGCAAATTCACAAATTACGAGTAAAGATTGTGACATGAAACAAAGAAGTTAGAATTACTCCAATCAATTGAGTGGAAACCCTCAAATAAATTTTGTTATCCGAATAAGGTTAACACAGGCACGCAAAAGAACCCTAATACTAAACCCGATAACCAAAATCAAAAATTGGTTCATCTATGAGCAAGCAGATCGAATTACGTAACGAGAAAGCGGGAAGACAAAAAAAAAAAAAAAAAAAACCCAGAACCTCAAAAAGCGTCCACGAGGCAAGGGGGACGAAGAATCGTCTAATTAAAAATTGTGTATTTTCGGTGATTTTAGGGAGCGAAGAGATTACCAGTGAAGTTATCGATTTTGATGTTGGCCTGAGCACGATCGGCGAAGAAGGCGGCGCAATTAGGATCCAAGTCAATGGCTTTGGAGTATAAGTCAACAGCGACATCGAAGTCGTCCTCTAAGAAAGCCTCTTTGGCTTTGTCCGCCAATTCCTTCGCCGCCATTGATGGATTTTGTTTTCACTGTTAGAAGGATTTGAGATTTTGAAGAGACGCAGAAGACGTATTATAGAGAAAGAGACCGATCCTGTGTTTTTGTTTTTGAGCCTTGCTTTGAGTTGGAACGTTTCTATTCCTCTATTAGGTCATGTAGCAGAGAAAAAAAAAAGAAAAAGAATTCTTTACATATCCAGATTTTTAACAATATACTGTTGATAAGGGTTTGAATGAAATACAGTTTTTCACGTTTTCGTTTTGAAAACTTAATTTTGTTATTTTTTTACTATTCATGTTATTCATTATAGTTTCACGTTTTTTATGTTTTTGAAACGTAATTTTGCTAGCGTTGTTAAAAATATAACTAGAAAAAACAAAATGTGGTTAATCTACTAAAAGTAGCTTTTCAGCGTTTCATAATTATTCAGCTGAAATATTATTCAGTTCAGTTCATTTCGCTAATAATTTTTTAATTATTCAACTATTATGTTATTCATCTGACATACCAGTCATACCCAGTATTAATAAAATTATTGAAGAATTTTTCCCTTTCTGTTAAATTTTAGATATAACTTTTAGAAATTTTGATAAAAGTAAAATTAATGTTTTTAAAATCAGGTTACCTGTAGTCACCCCCAAATATTCCCGAATTAATATTTGATAAAATTAATAAATTCTTATAGATTGAGTTATATGCAAAATATAATATTAATATATAAAATAATAAGATAGTATTTTAATTTTTTAAAAATATATAATAATTAATATTATAAATTAATAATTACTATAAAAATAATCTTATATAAATAAATAATTATGATAATTTTTTAAAATATAAGTATATTTGTCCGGGAATAAATTTTAGAATGTCACGTGAGGGTATGTGATTCGTCCGGCGAGTGGAATCGTGTTTCCGAGTTTCGTCCTCTCAAGGAAAAGCAACAAGATATTCTGTAGCGGAAGTCGGTTCGGGTCATGCCAGCGGGGTGATAGTCATATCTGGTCCTGCAAACACTACACAAGAGATCAATCGGGCCTCTGGAAAGACCGAATTGTGGTTTTCCTCCCGAAGGGACATCTAAGTCAATGAACGCCCTACCAGGAGCAAGTACCGAGCTGGTCCCCTTCTTGGGTAGGGATCTCTTTCCTTTCATACTAGTTTCTTCCCTGTCTTATCCTCTTCATTCAGCGCGCCAGAGGAGCAGGTGGGTTCATAATTCATGCGTGTTCGGAAAAGCATGCTAACTGTCCAAGAACAGTACGCGGGAGTGGTTCGGGCAAGCTAGGAAGGCGTGTGTCAGTGTCTAGGGCAGGTTGACATCCACGTGTCGCGTCACCCTTGGGGGTCGGTAAAACTGGTCCTAGCAGTTGCCTCTGATTTCTCGACTGATTGTGAAATGAGTCGGAGAGTCGATCTCTCTTGGGTTTTCTGCCCAATAAAATAGGTTATCCGATTCTCTAGGCATCCTGCTTTTAAATGACATACTGACGCGATGACTTTGCCGCATATCCAGGGGATACGGTACTAGTTTGGACGAATTTAAGTTCTTAAAGACAGTAAAAATGGACTCATACATGCCTTGCCACGTATCCTGATGGAATACGGTACTGGTCTGGTGGTGCGGACTTTCAGGGAAGTAGGGAAGAGGGTATCAACTCCGACCTTGCCACGTATTACGAAGGAATACGTTCCCAGTCGGAAGAGCGAATGGAAGAAGGATTTCAACCCCCGACCTTATTCGTATGTCCCAGGGAGTACGTTATCAGTCGAGGGAATTACGCTTTCTGGAGAAGCGAGTCGCAATGTGGCTTAATAGGTGTCAATTCTGGCTTCATTCGCATACGAGGGAGTACATTATTGGCCGAAGGAATTACAATTCCAAGGGAAGCGAATCGTGAGACTATCAGACTAAATATATAAGGTACGACTCGCCCCGTCTTCGTCATGCATCTGAAGGAGTACGCCGCAGGCCGGGGGAGCTAAGTGATCGGGTCCTACCCTGACTGGGGTACACATCCGGGGGAGTACGATACTTGCTCAGGATAGGAGGATACTGGCGCTCCCGGAGGAACTGATAGCTTGGCCACTGGTGGCCATTTCCCTGGAAGGATTTTACTTCTTGTTTCGTGAGACACTAGAAAAGAACCCGTTTTGCCCCCTCTCATCGGGGTCATGAGAGAGGTTATAGTCTCATGTAACAAATGGAATGGACAGGAGACACCAACGCGGATAAGACACCAACCCAAGGGCCAGAGGTGGCGCTATTGAGCGGATGAATAGATGTTCCCTGCGTTATGGGGCGCTAACGTAAGGGAGAGTTGCTACTCGAATGCAGCTGGTGCGAAGTAAGACATCTTCTGATAACGTTACCTCGACTCCCTTACTGCCTGGACAGTTTTTTTGTTGTGCTTACGCGGAAGTTTCTGAGTTTTGGGATGTGCTTGTTACCCTGAAGGGGAAGAGGTCGGGAAATTATTAAGAAGAGAAAGCCTACGAGTCGATAACCTCAATTCATGTGGTGCCTAAGTGGTAAGCATGTCTTTAGGAGGAGCATGCTGTTCAGTCGCACGGCCCGCTGGAGGGGACTGGCTAGGAAGACCTGGAGGTCTGAGAGGCCGGAGCCTTAGAATCCTGAAGGGAGGGTGCCCCGGAGGGTGAGCGAGTCCGAAGGGGAGCATGCTCTGGATGCGTGCTGTCTCCGGAGGGAGCTGGCACAAGGAAAGCCACAGAGGCTTGCCGGACCAGAGTCCTGAATTTCTGGAGGAATGGTGTCCCGGAAGACAAACAAGTCCGCGATGGAGCATGCTAAGAAATGGGGTTGGAGAAAAGTACGCAGATTGAGGAACATATAACAAAGACATACAAAAAGGAAAGGCGTAACTGTGACGAGGAGAGGAATTAAGCTGCTACTTGAATAGGATAATCATAAAATCGTGCTAGCAGGAAAGTACAACATCATGCAAGCAAGAAATTAGACAATTACACAGAAAAGAAATCAAACAATCATGCGAGCAAGAAATCAAGCAATCATGCAAGAAAGAAATCAAACAATCATGCAAGCAAAAAATCAAACAATCATGCAAGCAAAAAATCAAATAATCATGCATGCAAGAAAGGATATAACCTTGCGGGTTGAGATTGCTTTCGAGACGGCCATGGCCGCAAGTTCTATAAAACCTGTCGCGGGGCTTATTGGGCCCAGATGGCTATGTTTGACCCACGTACGTGGCCTTTTTGCAACCCGTCCCTGGAGCCATTTCCGCCCGGGAGCGGATGGCGGTTTTCCTGTAAATGTGCAAATTTACATACCGTTGCGACTGTTCGTTAGTCGATTTACTAGGGCTTTGGCAGACTGATAACCGTCGTTTGGGCCTTCTCGGGCGGGCCTTTAATGTTGGGTGAGTGTGGTCCACGTGGCAAGCCCCTGGTGGCTTGAAGTGCAGCGTATCATGTCGCACAGGGTGTGCCACTCCTCAAGAACCGCCAGATTCTTTTTCTGTTTCGAGGGATTGCTTGTCTCTCTACACATTAAATGTGCGTTATCTCGGTCGCGCGGCTCGAGAGACTAATAATTACGGGAGTTCCATCGACTTTTGGTTTTCCCCGACCGATGCGATTCCTCTTGCGTGTTGCTTTGATTTTTTCTTCCTCTATAAATTTTGTGGAACCTACACTCGTTGTTACTCCATTTCCGAGGCGATACGCAGATCCCTTATAATTTGAAATTTTTTTCTTTTTTGCCATTCATGCCTTTTCTCGTTCAGTTGAGATGTCGGCTTCAAGTTCTTCATCTCGCATGTGGCGCGCTCACTTTTCCTGGCCTGACGGTGAGGTCAAGAGTAGTGCTCGAGCACCTTCGGCGGATGTTCCTCCTGTCCGTCCTACGTCTGTGTGTACTCTGGACTCCTTGGAGAGGGTCTTGTTGGCGAATGACCCTCCCTCTTCTGGCCTTGCACCCATCTTTCCTGGCGAGGGGGACCAGGCGGACCGCCCGCCGCAATACTGCATTATGATCCACAACGAATACATCATGTACGGCTTCCGGGGCAGCCTTTCCTGAATGCTGGTCAATTTTTGTCCCCTTGTCAGCATCTCTTCCAGCCAACTTCACCTTTCGGTGTGGAGGCTCCTATGCGCTTACCAAGTCCTATCGGACCTGTCTGGAGTCCGTATCCATGGCTCCACAGTGCTGCTGTCCTACCAGCTCTGCAACCTAACCACTAATGCCCTCCGCTACACCCTGCATACCAGGGATGAGTGTGATGCACACATCTATGGGGAGTGCTCGGGGAGCCACGACAGGCGCGAGCGGTACATCTTCTGGATGGGGCCACTAGATGTTAACATCCAGCTCACTTGGCGCCCACGAGGTAAACCCGGTAACTGTTTCTTTTCGTGTTTCCCTTGGAGGTTTGATTCGCTCTTTGATCGATGGCTTTTATGTTGTCAGGTTCCGCTACGCCCTCTGCCTTTAACCAGGTTGAGCTGCGCCAGCTGCTAGCGCTAGACAAGCGGTTTAGATCGTTCGACTTCCTGCTCTCACCGATGAGCATCAGGGCGAGCTCTGTCATCCTGCCGTTTTGCATGACACCTGATGTCTCGGGTAATGATCTTCGCTTTCTTGCTGTGTTAGCTCCACGGATGCTGTTTGCCGATTCTTCTTCTGTAGGTTCCCAGGACCGGATCGAGGAAGTGTGGGGGCTTTATGCCCCTAGGGGTCGACTGCGTAACTCGAGACTTATCCAAAGTGCATGGCAAGCGCCTCTCCAAACGCCGCGCTGGAGGCCTCGTGCTGATTTTCCAGTCTGGGAGGCTTCGTCCCGATCCTCATGGAAGAGGTGCCTCACTGGGTCCCTCGCGTCGAGAGCGACGTGGTCCCCTGGCCCTTCTTCCGTCCGCCCCGGACTTACCTCCATGGACTCTGATTCTTCTGCCAGTTTTGAGGCTTTT